CTACTACTACTACTACTACTACTACTACTACTACTACTACTACTACTACTACTACTACTACCACTACCACTACCACTACCACTACCACAACCACTACTACTACTACTACTACTACTACTACTACTACTACTACTACTACTACTACTACTACTACTAGGTACTACGATCAGGAACTACTATAACTGGGTACTACTACTACTATTCTACTACTACATACTACTTACCCACCACTACCATACACTACCACTACCCACTACCACTGCCACTTACCACTACCACTCACTACTAATACTACTACTACACTACTACTACTACTACTAACTACTACTACTTTACTACGACTACTCCGACTTACTACTACTATATACTACTACTTACTACTACTACGTACTTCCTAACGACTCGACTTCGACTTCGACTACGACTCGACATGCGACTCCTGCGACTTGCGGACTACTTACTACGACTACGACTACGACTGTGAATACTACGACTACTACCAATACTAGTAATACTGACACTAATACTTACACTACTACTACTACTACTACTACTGCTACTACTACTACTACTACTACTACTACTTCTACTACTACATACTACTACTACTACTACTACTACTACTACTACTACTACTACTACCTCTACTACTACTACTACTACTACTACTACTACTACTACTACTACTACTACTACTACTACTACTACTACTACTACTACTACTACTACTACCTCTACTACTACTACTACTACTACTACTACTACTACTACTACTACTACTACTACTACTACTACTATTACTATTACTAGCACTACTATTACTACTATTACTACTATTATTACTATTACTACTACTATTACGATTACTACTATTCCTACTATTACTACGACTACGACTACGACTACGACTACGACTACTACTACTACTTATACTTATACTTCTACTTCTACTACTAATAATAATAATCCTACTCATAATCATAATGATAATAATAATAATAATAAGAGGATCCATTTGCATATTAAGATTCGATGCGATTCGGTGCGGTTATGCTTACGGTTCGGTGCCCTCTTGCTCATCTTAACAGCGTGCTCGTGCGCAGACCAAGAATGAGACCAATTCCAACTCTGGCACGTATGTTGGCAGCCAGAACCTCTGCGTTGACATAAGAGGTGCCGCTTGGTCTTCGCGGTCGTCTTGGGCTTCTCTGCACTTAAAATCTTATTGTGAGGCTGTCCCAAGCAGGTTGGGATTGGGCCCAGTTTGCTTTTCACACTGGTTGGGATTGGTCCCAGTTGGTTGGGATCGGGCCCAGTTGGTTGGGATTCGGCCCACATGCGGTCCGGACCCCGCCCCCCTTCCCTCCCTTAAGGGGGGGGGGGGGTCCCGACCCCCCCCCCCTCCCTTGAAGGGGGGGGGGGGGGTCCGGGACCCCCCTTCCCCCCTTCCCCCCCTTGGCGCTGGAAAGGGGGGGGGGGTGGACCCCCCCGCCTCGTGTAGGGAGTACGGAGGTTGAAGTAGGGAGTGGTGAGTAGTGAGTAGTGAGTTAGTGCGTAGTGAGTAGTGAGTATTGGGTAGTGAGTAGTGGGTAACGAGTGGCGAGTAGGGAGCCGGGAGTAGGGAGTGGGGAGTAGTGAATAGTGAGTAGTGTGTACTGATAAGTGAGTCGTGAGTAGCGAATAGCAAGTAGTGAGTACTGAGTAGGGAGTAGGGAGTAATGAGTAGTGGGTAGTGAGTAGTGGGTGGCGAGTAGTGATTAGTGAGTAGTGAGTAGTGGGTAGTGCGTAGTGGGTAGTGAGTAGTGAGCAGTGAGTAGTGGGTAGTGAGTAGTGGATAGTGAATAGTGAGTAGTGAGTAGCGAGTAGTGAGTACTGAGTAGTACGTAGTGCGTAGTGAGTAGTGAGTAGTGATGAATAAAGAGTAGTGGGTAGTGGCAGTGGGTTGTGAAAAGCGAGTAGGGGGTGGTGAGTAGTGAGGAACGGGTAGGGCGTAGTGAGTAGTGAGCAGCGAGCAGAGAGTCGTCAGTAGTGAATAGTGTTTAGTGAGTAACGAGAAGGGAGTAGCGAGTAGTGAGTAGTGAGTAGTGAGTAGGGAGTTGTGAGCAGTGAGTGGTAAGAAGTGGGTAGCGAATAGTGGGTAGTGAGTAGCGATTTGTGACTAGTGACTAGAGACTATGTAGTGACTAGTGAGTAGTAAATAGTGAGTAGCAGGGAGTGGGTAGGGCGCATGAGAGTAGCGAGTGGTGAGTACTGAGTTTTTTTGTTGTATATATATATAATAGTAATAATGTGTAGGGAGTAGGGAGTAGCGAGTAGTGGGTGGTGAGCAGTGAATTGTGGGGAATGAATAGTTAGTAGTGAGTAGTAAATAGTGGATAGTGGGTAGTGATGAATGAGTAGTGAGTATGGAGTAAGTGAGTATTGCTTACTGAGTAGTGAGAATTGAATAGTGGGTAGTGGGGAGTGAGTAGAGAATAGGGAGGAGGGAGTAGGGAGTAGGGAGTAGTGAGTAGCGAGCAGTGGGTGGTGGGTAGTTAGTAGTGGATAGTGAGTAGTGAGTCGTGAGTAGTCAGAAGTGGGTAGTGAGAAATGAGTAGTGAGTACTCTTTGGGGCTGGGGTTAGTGGTTGGGGTTCGGGTGAGGACTAGGGTAGGGGTGGCGGGGGTCGGGTTCCGGAGTCAGGGGGCGGCGTGGCGAAAGGGGGGGAGGGGGGGGGTCGGATGTGATGACGATGGAGATGACAGCGGTAACGACGGGGGCAAATTTGGTGACGACGCGTACCATGAGGAGCAGTGGGCCTCCTGGAACAGTCTCCCTCGAAATACTTGTCGAAACATTGTTCGCCGTGGACCCTGTCGGCGTGTGTGAGGGGCTTTTCCGTTCGAGCCGTCATCTCCGTCATTCTTTGTACTCGTCGTCTCTGTCCTTCCCTTTCCCTGGGAGACCTCTTCCCCTGGGCTCCAGCCAAGCCGACCTTGAGCAACCTCGTAATTGAGTCGAAGGGAAGCCCCTTCCCTTTGATCCCTCCCCCGCCGGGAGGGGGGGGGGGGTAGCGACCCCCCCCCCGGGTCAGATACGACGCCCCCCCCTGGGACTCCTCTTCCCCTGGGCTCCAGCCAAGCCGACCTTGAGCAACCTCGTAATTGAGTCGAAGGGAAGCCCCTTCCCTTTGATCCCTCCCCCGCCGGGAGGGGGGGGGGGGTAGCGACCCCCCCCCCGGGTCAGATACGACGCCCCCCCCTGGGACTCCTCTTCCCCTGGGCTCCAGCCAAGCCGACCTTGAGCAACCTCGTAATTGAGTCGAAGGGAAGCCCCTTCCCTTTGATCCCTCCCCCGCCGGGAGGGGGGGGGGGGTAGCGACCCCCCCCCCGGGTCAGATACGACGCCCCCCCCTGGGACTCCTCTTCCCCTGGGCTCCAGCCAAGCCGACCTTGAGCAACCTCGTAATTGAGTCGAAGGGAAGCCCCTTCCCTTTGATCCCTCCCCCGCCGGGAGGGGGGGGGGGGTAGCGACCCCCCCCCCGGGTCAGATACGACGCCCCCCCCTGGGACTCCTCTTCCCCTGGGCTCCAGCCAAGCCGACCTTGAGCAACCTCGTAATTGAGTCGAAGGGAAGCCCCTTCCCTTTCATTCCTCCCCCGCCGGGAGGGGGGGGGGGTAGCGGGGGGGGTAGCGACCCTCCCCCCGAGTCAGATACGACGCCCCCCCCCCGTACCGACCTTGAGCAACGTCGTCATTGAGTCGAAGGGAAGCCCCTTCCCTTTCCCTTCCCCGATGGGGGGGGGAGAGGAGGTCCCGGGGGGGGTCCCGGGGGAGTCCCGGGGAAGTCCCGGGTCAGATACGACACCTCCCTCCCCCACCTCATCGTCCTTCTCCCCGTTCCCCCAAACCATCCCACAGCCCGTGCCTCTTGCTGCGCATTGCGAACAGGGTCGGCGGCACCGGCCGTCAGGCCTTCGCAATACTTGTCGAAACATTGTTCGCCGTGGATGCCTATTCCAGTCGGTCCCAATCGATCGCCAAATACGGACGAGGAGAGGCGGAGAAGGAGCACGAAGAGAAGCAGGAAGAAAGGAAACAAGGGATGGCAATAGGAGAGGGACAAACAATAAGAAAGGAGGAAGCGGGGGGAAATCAACAAACCAGGAGTTCGCAATGCACGAAATGTTAGGGACGGCGGAGGGAAGGCGGGAGGGGGGGGGCGCCAATAACGATGATGCTGATGATGACGATGATGATGAGGATTATGATGACATCGATCTTGCGCCTTTACGCACTGCCTAATCTTTCTTTCTTTCCTTATTTCTCTCTCTCTCTCTCTCGACATCCCTCTCGCTTGCGCTCTCTGCGACTCTCTGCCTCCCTGTCCTCCTTTCCTTCCTCCTCCTCCTCCGCCTCCTCCTGAATCCCTTTTCCCTCTGAGTAGCTCCTCCCTGTCGCACCCCGAGAAGTGTCAAAATATGGCTATCGCTTTCGTCCCGCGCGCAGTCGTCGTGAAAGTTGGCAAGAATTTCGCGGATGAAGGCGGGCGGTTCTCAAAATGTTGTTCTCGCCCAGGCGCCGCGCCCAAGCGCCGCGCGCAGATATTGCAGCAAAATCCGAGATTCGTATAGTCGAAATCCCGGAATGGTGTTCCTGCGCGATTTAGGATTGCCAGGACGCAGCTGTAACGTTGGTTCAGGGTGTTGAAGCTCCAGGAATGGTGTCATGGCGCGATTCATGATCGTCAGGACACAATGATAACGTTGATTCGCGGCGCTGAAATGCAATAATGGTGCTGTGGCACGACCAACGATTTCCAGACGGTTGTCTTCCAACGGGGCACTTCCCGCAACAAAGCTCAATCAAAATACATCGTTGCTGGCACCTGTGAAGAGCGAACTTGGAGGGAGGGCTCACTGCAACATCGTTGATGCGAACGTCCTTCCTCTCCTCCCTTTCGTCATCCACTCCCCTCCTCCTCCTCGGGGCGGAAGCGGGGACGACAACTGGCCGCGCGGCCTCCGCCTTCACCTCCCTCTTCGTCCGCCGGAGCCTCCCGCGCGACGCGCGGGACCGCCGTCGCAGAGGTCGCAACGGTCGTCCTTCTCGTCGCCGTTGTCACCGTCTTCTTCGTCGCTGTCGTCGTCCGCCGTTCTCCTGTCGTGGTCAATCCTCGTCGTGGCAACATTCGCGTGGTCTGGCCAGGGCATCGCGCCGTCAATACTTTTACAGATGGGAGCTCAAATCAGTGGAATGGTACGCCGCAGCTAAGGATGTTCCGCGACGATCACGATTCGAACGACCTTCCCATCGGCCCACCATGACCCAATGGTTTTTGGAAGATTGCGGCTCCTTCGGGACTGGATCGCCATACTACCAGATCTCTTGAGGGATCGACGCCAAGCTGTGCAGATCGCCTGGCGCAAAGCATGGACGGTCCTAGAACATTACCCACAGCGCTGAAGCAAGGTAACCTGTCAGCAACGCTCGCAGCCTTCCTTGACCTACGATTCTGAGCAGTGTCGCCCTGGGAGTGGAGCAACCAGGATGGCGAATTTCCAAACTTAGGGAGTGCTGGTCCAGAGCGGATTGTTGTCGTCGAGCGGTATGGTGCCTCGACGCGTCGAAGTACTACCACGGGCCTCGAGCATGGCCCAGATCTATATATTGACTATATATATCGCATGCAAAAGCTTCGCAAGGAGGGCAAGTATGACCAGCTAGGAATGTTTCGAACGGTCATGTCTGGCGCACTGTGGCTTGACCAATCGTAGGTTTGGTGATAGAAACACGCGCCCACCTCCTATCCCCCCTGCTGGTGAACACTCCGATCCCACCCAAGTCGAAGATCTGCACAGCCCAAGTCCCGCTTTTCCTGTCCCCGTCCAGTCCAGGGGTGAGGATCAAGAGGGCGAGGAGTTCCTTCTGAGCGGATGCTGGGGCGAGCGCAGTGGGAGGAAAGGCAGGCTTGGCCAAAGCCCCCCGAGGAGTGAGGAGGGGGAGGGGGAGGAGGAGGAGGAGGAGAAGGAAGAGTAGGATGAGGAGGAGGAGGAGGAGGAGGCGGAGGCGGAGGAGGAGGAGGAGGATTAGGAGGAGGAGGAGGAGGAGGAGGAGGCGGAGGCGGAGGAGGAGGAGGAGGATTAGGAGGAGGAGGAGGAGGAGGAGGAGGAGGAGGACTTGTGCCTGTGCTGTGTTGTTTTTTTGTGTGTTCTTCGTGCCTGTGCCGTGGGTGCCACTCGTTCGCGGCCCGCCCGAGTCAGGGAAGGCGTGCGCGTCGGCGGAGAGCCGACCCAGCAGAGTGCAGTAGAGCGAGATGACCCCACCATTGTGGCCACAGACGGGTCAGGTGGAAAGTACCAGGACGATGTTCGGATTCGGCGTTGTGGATGGGGTCTGGCCATTCTGCGGGCCTGGAGCCTAGCTGGATGGGCATATGGCCCAGCAGAGCATTGGAAACTGTCGATGCCTAAAGCTGAGTTGACTAGTTCCACAGCGGCCCTCAGGCGAATGGGCGGACCAAAAGCAGTTCGTGTTCGATGCGCAGCATGTTGTCGACGGGGTTCGTCGAGGTCCCACTGGGCACCATGCCAAACACAATCGTCTCTGGTAAACTGTGTGGAAAGTGGCTCGAGGCCGCAGGATCTCTGACCAGAAAATCAAGCCTCATTGAACCTTGGAGCAAGCCGAGTCGGCCCAGGTTCCCCGGCGAGCTGGACAGCCAACAGGGAGCAGCTGACTAGTGCGCCGAGGAGGGAGCGCGAGGTGCTCAATTGTCCGAGGCAAACCCCATACAATATTTTAGAGTTGACAGTCTGGCTTCCCGTGTGCAGGGCCATCCCTTGACTGTTGCTGATCGTGTTGCGCGCCAAACTCACGAGATTTACGGGCCCTCGGCGAGGACGGACAGGCCGCATGAGGCCAATCGTCGGGCGGTGGGGAGGCGGGAAGGCGTTCGGGCTGCCATCCAGAAGTCCGACCACCAGGTGGAGTCCAACGCCCAAAAACTGCTTCCCTGCAGCGTGTGCTCTTCACGCCCAGCAGAATCAGGAGCGAGAACCGCATGGCTCTCTTCTCCGTGCCCTCGCTGCCCGCGAATCTCCACCATTCCCGCAGGCTGATGACTGGCAGGGGGATTCATTGGTGAAGGCCTTGCGGGGGAAGCGGGGCTCGGACGTTTCAGAAGCTGGTCAAACATTGTGCCGATCCCTTGCATATGTTTGGCAAGGGAACACCACATATTCTGGAACATGACAACTCACACAAGGCTGTTCGAAATGGCCCCAGCCCTCAGATCTGGAACCATCAATGTCCATGGCGATTCTGCCTGATTTGTTTCAGGCCAAAGCGCTTCCTCTTAGAGAGCCCAGGCGCGCACTTAGGCAAGAGACAAGTAGTATGATGAGTGAGGCGGCGGCGGCGGAGCTCTGCAGGTACACGAGTGAGGCTGCATTCGTGAGAATTAACAGACCATCTCAAGTGCCATAGGGGGAATCGGAGGAGGGGAGGAGGAGGAGGAGGAGGAGGAGGAGGAGGAGGAGGAGGGGAGGAGGAGGAGGAGGAGGAGGAGGAGGAGGAGGAGGAGGAGGAGGAGAAGGAGGAGGAGGATTGGTTGTGCCCTTCCTGTGCACGCCGAGCGTGCCAACTGCAGAGTGGCACGACGCACTGTTCTCACTCCCGTGGGTGAGGGACCCGGGACCCTCGATGGCCCAGCGCTCAAGGACTACCTCCTTCCTCCCAGGTCTGGGGTTGCGGCCACGCTCGCAGCGGCCCCGCCGCTCCTTGCCCATCTTGCCCAAGACAAAACCAGGCTGCTTCGCTGGGAGCTCCTGGCCAGGCCGACAAGGTGCAGCTGGGAAAACAGCGCGCATTGCACGCAGTACAGCAAGAACTCGCGCTTCTCTGGTGAGCAGCCCTTCGGGCCAATCACCGCACCCCACAAAACATGAGAGCCCGCGAACTCCTCCATCTCTTGGGCGCCTCGCGCCCACACTCGGAGGCCATCCCAGCCTTCCAGCTCAAGAAACCGTGCAAGCACTGAACGCACCGCCAGCGGCCGCCCGCCGCCTCGTGCAGATCGTGCCGCAGAAAGCACGGGCGACCACACGTCGGGGGCCGCGCACGCGACCCTGCCACGGCGGTCGCCTTCAGCGCCGCTTTGATGGGCCCTGCCTCCAACTTGCCATCGAAGTTGCCCTGGAGGGCCTGCCCGGACACTCTGCGCAAAGTGGTGGTGGGCAACATTTTCCCGTGTCGCGGCTCAGGGGCATGAAGACGGCCTTGCCGGTGGGGTCGGCCTTGGGGTGGATGGCGCCGAACACGTCCCATGACATGTGGGAGAGAGCGCGCCCACAGGGCCCGAGCAAAGGGGAGGGGGGGCTAGGCTTAAGCTACCCCCCCCTCCCTTGAGCCGCCCTTGTTGGAAGCACCCCCCCCCCCCCCCCTTTTTTTGCAAGGGGGGGGGGGGCTTACAGCTACCCCCCCCTCCCCCCTTGGGCCCTCCCCGGAAGCTACCCCCCCCCCCTTTCCAAAAGGGGGGGGGTGCTTAAGCTACCCCCCCTCCCTTGGCGCCGCCCTGCTGGAAGCTACCCCCCCCTCCCCCCCTTTCGTACAAAAGGGGGGGGGGTGCTTGGAAGCTACCCCCCCCTCCCCCTTTGGCCGCCTCGGAAGCTACCCCGCGTCCTTACCTTCCTTTCCAAAGGGAGGGGGGTGCTTAAGCTACCCCCTCCCCTCCCTTGGAGCCGCCCTGCTGGAAGCTCCCCCCCCCTTCCTCCCCTTTTGTGCCAAAGGGGGGGGGGGGGGCTTGAAGCCCCCCCCCCTTTCCCCCTTTGGCCGCCCAGCCCCCGGAACCGCATCAACACGCGCTGTATGAGCATGCGTCCCCGTGTGCTGCCACTTCCGGGCGGGGATCGCACGAAGCAAAATAATATTTGAGAGTCGGCCCCCAGAGCTTGGAGGCGTCTCTCCCCGGACTGCGGCCGTGCAGGACCAGAACTTCGAGGGTCGAACTTCGAACCTCGAGGTTTGAGGTTCGACGTTTTCCGGCTTTCGGGTGCCCCTTCGTCGCCACGGGTGGACGCAGCGCAACGAACGAGTGCGTCTGGACCTGGATCCGTCTTCCGGCGGCCCCGGCGCTTGTCTGAGGCTTCGAAGGGCTCCGGGAGGTTGAGGATGGAGAAACGGCTTCTGGTTGTGATCGGCCCGTGGGCGCAGGGAGGTCTGGGCCTGCCCCTCGGCATTCTCCTCCGCCTCTGCTTCCCGGCGCCCTGACCGACAGTGCGCCTTTGAAGGTAACCCAAATCCTGTTTTATGATTGTGTTTATGCCGGACGGTGGTCTGCGCTCGCAGAGGGATCCGGGTTGCAGTGGACATGGTCCCAAGGTTTCGCTCGCTCGCTCTGCCTCCCTCGGCCTCCTCCGCCGCGGCGCAGGGCGCCTCGCGATCCGCGCGGTGGTGGTCGTTCCCGCAATGTCGCGCGGCCGGGGGTGGGCCCAGATCTGCGACGTCGTGAAAACATAAAGGAGCAGGATTTTCTTTGTACTCGGCCTCCGGGGGCTCTTGCCGGGCCCCGGGAGCGTCAAACGAACATTCAGGACGAAGGCCCGGTCCTGGGGAAAGGGTCGGGACCTCCTGGGACCCCGCACTGAAAACAAAAAAAACACGACATCGGATGTCCGGGTGCGCGCGTAGCGAGCCGGTGTGGCCTGAGGGCACGTTTTCGTGTGCCCGACCCCTCCCACTTCTCTTTTTTTTTTTTTTGTTTGTTCTCTCTCTGTCTCTCTTTTTTTTTTTTTTTCTCTCTCTCTCTCTCTCTCTCTCCTTCACATTCCCTCCACTTTCGCGCGGCCCTCTCTCCCTTGAGGGAGAGGTCGCGGCCGAGGAGCTAGAGCTCTCTGACGATGAGATCTGTTGAGTTCTTGACCGCTTTGGTGTACGGACGCTTGGAGGGCAGTGTAGTTATAGAGTGTCGCTTCCGCGGCGCTCGCCGTCTGTCGTCCTGCCCATCCGCTTCTCTGGAGTCGTGGTGCGGAATTGCCCTCCGTGCGTCAAGTGGCG